GGAAGGCCTTGATGGTAAGGTCCTCCTAGATCCTGCAGGGGGAAGGAGATCACTAGGACTTCCGGGTGTATGGGAAACCTGTGCGGGCTGTTCCATCGCGCGGCGGATCGGGGGGGAGCTCGTCTGAGTTTGCCTTGGCAGTTGAAAATTCACAGCGAGTATTCCCCTCGGTGAGTGGTTAATGGTGCGCTCCAGGAGGGAGGATTCCAGGGCTGGAGACAGTGAAGGAGGTGAGTGAGGGGCAGCGTTTGTATATAATGTATTACTACCTAGAGCTCTATTATTATATAATATAATAAATAATATACTGTATATAATGTATTACTACCTAGAGCTCTATTATTATATAATATAATAAATAATATACTGTATATAATGTATTACTACCTAGAGCTCTATTATTATATAATATAATAAATAATATACTGTATATAATGTATTACTACCTAGAGCTCTATTATTATATAATAAATAATATATTGTATATACTGTATTACTACCTAGAGCTCTATTATTATATAATATAATAAATAATATATTGTATATAATGTATTACTACCTAGAGCTCTATTATAATATAATAAATCATATATTGTATATAATGTATTACTACATAGAGCTCTATTATGTAATATAATAAATATACTGTATATAATGTATTACTACCTAGAGCTCTATTATTATATAATAAATAATATATTGTATATAATGTATTACTACCTAGAGCTCTATTATTATGTAATATAATAAATAATATACTGTATATAATGTATTACTACATAGAGCTCTATTATAATATAATAAATAATATATTGTATATACTGTATTACTACATAGAGCTCTATTATTATGTAATATAATAAATAATATATTGTATATAATGTATTACTACCTAGAGCTCTATTATTATGTAATATAATAATATATTGTATATAATGTATTACTACCTAGAGCTCTATTATTATATAATAAATAATATATTGTATATAATGTATTACTACATAGAGCTCTATTATTATATAATAAATAATATACTGTATATAATGTATTACTACCTAGAGCTCTATTATTATATAATATAATAAATAATATACTGTATATAATGTATTACTACATAGAGCTCTATTATAATATAATAAATAATATATTGTATATACTGTATTACTACCTAGAGCTCTATTATAATATAATAAATCATATATTGTATATAATGTATTACTACATAGAGCTCTATTATTATGTAATATAATAAATATACTGTATATAATGTATTACTACCTAGAGCTCTATTATTATATAATAAATAATATATTGTATATAATGTATTACTACCTAGAGCTCTATTATTATGTAATATAATAAATAATATACTGTATATAATGTATTACTACATAGAGCTCTATTATAATATAATAAATAATATATTGTATATACTGTATTACTACATAGAGCTCTATTATTATGTAATATAATAAATAATATATTGTATATAATGTATTACTACCTAGAGCTCTATTATTATGTAATATAATAAATAATATATTGTATATAATGTATTACTACCTAGAGCTCTATTATTATATAATAAATAATATATTGTATATAATGTATTACTACATAGAGCTCTATTATTATATAATATAATAAATAATATACTGTATATAATGTATTACTACATAGAGCTCTATTATTATGTAATATAATAATATACTGTATATAATGTATTACTACATAGAGCTCTATTATTATGTAATATAATAAATAATATACTGTATATAATGTATTACTACCTAGAGCTCTATTATTGTATAATTAATATATTGTGTATATAGTGTATTACTACATAGAGCTCTATTATTATATAATATAATAATATACTGTATATAATGTATTACTACCTAGAGCTCTATTATATAATATAATAAATAATATACTGTATATAATGTATTACTACCTAGAGCTCTATTATTGTATAATTAATATATTGTATATAGTGTATTACTACATAGAGCTCTATTATTATATAATATAATAATATACTGTATATAATGTATTACTACCTAGAGCTCTATTATATAATATAATAAATAATATACTGTATATAATGTATTACTACCTAGAGCTCTATTATTGTATAATTAATATATTGTATATAGTGTATTACTACATAGAGCTCTATTATTATATAATATAATAATATACTGTATATAATGTATTACTACCTAGAGCTCTATTATATAATATAATAAATAATATACTGTATATAATGTATTACTACCTAGAGCTCTATTATTGTATAATTAATATATTGTATATAGTGTATTACTACATAGAGCTCTATTATTATATAATAAATTATATAATAGAGCTCTACGTAGTTATACATTATATAATTTATTATATAATAGAGCTCTATGTAGTAATACACTATATACAATATATTAATTATACAATAATAGAGCTCTATGTAGTAATACATTATATACAGTATATTATTTATTATATAATAATAGAGCTCTATGTAGTTATACATTATATAATAAATAATATATTGTATATAGTGTATTACTACCTAGAGCTCTATTATTATATAATAAATAATATATTGTATATAACGTATTACTGCCTAGAGCTCTATTATTATATAATAAATAATATATTGTATATAGTGTATTACTACATAGAGCTCTATTATTATATAATAAATAATATATTGTGTATATAGTGTATAACTACATAGAGCTCTATTATATAATAAATAATGTATTACTACATAGAGCTCTATTATTATATAATAAATAATATGTTGTATATAATGTATTACTACATAGAGCTCTATTATTATATAATACATAATATATTGTATATAATGTATTGCTACATAGAGCTCTATTATATAATAAATATATTGTGTATATAATGTATTGCTACATAGAGCTCTATTATATAATAAATATATTGTGTATATACTACATAGAGCTCTATTATATAATAAATGTATATAATGTATTGCTACATAGAGCTCTATTAGGAGAATGAAGAAGACTGGAAACCCCGAGGGGAACCAGTAAAATGTGTGTCAGGGTCAACCAAGACAGTGGGTAACCCTCACATATATTTGTGTAGAAAAAGAAAAAATAAAGACCCAGAGGGTCAAAATAGGAAGCCCCTCAAATAAACTCTACATACATAAAACATAACTTTTAATAATGATAATAAAATACTCATATAAGATTTGAATGAGACAAATATATCAGTTTATTAACACAGTGTATTCTATCAAGTAGCAGTGTGGTTTTCGCTCTATATTTCCCCTATGTGTAGGATCAGCTGGCTTTTTTTAGCCTTATAGCATCTTTCCAAGTGACTACCAGTGTATTCCTGAGGGGGCAATTATATTTTCACCTCTCTAAATGGTATGATGGATATCTACACACTACTTTTTTAGGGATACTGCATTGGCTACTCTAGTGACTCTTTAATTAGAGTATATAATTAGAGTGTATATATTCCTAACGGGAGATGTTAGTATTCTCTCTATCATAATAGTATTTTCTCCATTTACCCAACTAGTCTCCCTTTTTATCATTATTTTTTTGTTTGAGTATTTTATTATCATTATTAAAAGTTATGTTTTATGTATATAGAGTTTATTTGAGGGGCTTCCTATTTTGACCCTCTGGGTCTTTATTTCTTCTTTATAGAGCTCTATTATAAATAGTATATTATACACAATGTACTACATAGAGCGCTATTATATAATAAATATATTGTGTATATAATGTATTACAACATAGAGCTCTATTATATCATAAATATATTATACAGCCTTCTGTTGTGTGTGTGTGTGTGTATATGTATGTGTGTATATATATATATATATATATATATAATATATATTGTATTTATTATGCAGCCTTCTATTACAGATATCACTGTAATAATGACCTAGTGTTTATATATTCCTTACTTACTGATTACAGAGTCCATGTTAGATATACATACATTGCACATCATTCTATTATAAATATTACGCAGGGCATCATGCTTCCATATCGCTCAATTATACATCAAAATGTGCATGGCATGTAAAACATTTGAATAGTTTTTTAAAGTGTACAATGCAACATGCTTGTGCATTCATTAGACATCGCAATGTGCATGTAATACATTAAATAAATGTTTGGAGAGACACACACCATATGGATGGAGTGAGAGAGAGACACATAATATTGGTAGAGAGAGACATAATATTGATAGAGAGAGACACACATCCTATTGATGGAGAGAGAGACACACACACATCCTATGGATGAATGGATAGAGACACACACACACACATCCTATGGATGGATGTATGGATGGATAGAGACACACACACACACACACACACACACACACACATCCTATGGATGGATAGAGACACACACACACATCCTATGGATTGAGGTAGAGAGACACATACATCCTATGGATGGAGGGAGAGAGACACACACACATCCTATGGATGGAGGGAGAGAGACACACACACACACATCCTATGGATGGAGGGCGAGACACACACACATCCTATGGATGGAGGGAGAGAGAGACACACACATCCTATGGATGGAGGGAGAGAGAGACACACACATCCTATGGATGGAGGGAGAGAGACAGACACACACACATCCTATGGATGGAGGGAGAGAGACAGAAACACACACATCCTATGGATGGAGGGAGAGAGAGAGACACACACACATCCTATGGATGGAGGGAGAGAGAGAGACACACACATCCTATGGATGGAGGGAGAGAGAGAGACACACACATCCTATGGATGGAGGGAGAGAGAGAGACACACACATCCTATGGATGGAGGGAGAGAGAGAGACACACACATCCTATGGATGGAGGGAGAGAGAGAGACACACACATCCTATAGATGGAGGGAGAGAGAGAGACACACACATCCTATGGATGGAGGGAGAGAGAGAGACACACACATCCTATCGATGGAGGGAGAGAGAGAGACACACACACATCCTATGGAGGGAGAGAGAGAGACACACACACATCCTATGGAGGGAGAGAGAGAGAGACACACACACATCCTATGGGGAGAGAGAGAGAGACACACACACATCCTATGGAGGGAGAGAGAGAGACACACACACATCCTATGGAGGGAGAGAGAGAGACACACACACATCCTATGGAGGGAGAGAGAGAGACACACACACATCCTATGGAGGGAGAGAGAGAGACACACACACATCCTATGGAGGGGGAGAGAGAGACACACACACATCCGATGGATGGATGGATGGAGGGAGGGGGAGGGAGAGACACACACACATTTATTTATTATTTATTTTATTTATTTATAAAATATTTTACCAGGAAAGATACATTGAGATTTCTCTCGTTTTCAAGTATGTCCTGGGTCCACAAATCATTGCATTGTTACATTAGGTACAACAAAATACAAAAACAATATTAATACACACTATATACAAAATTTAACATAGAACAGGCAGGAAATATATAATCAACCATGACACGTGCATTCTGTTTTGAGGTATGTAGAGAAGGATCTCTTAAATGACTTTAGGCTTAGGGAAGATTTTAAATTGTGCGGGAGGTCGTTCCACAATTGCGGCGCTCTGTAGGAGAAGGAGGATCGGGCCGCTTTCTTTTTGTATTGAGGTAGACTAAGTAAAGTGCTTGTACTGGATCGGAGCTTATAGAAAGTGGGAACAGCTAAGGAAAGCATTTTGTTCAGGTAGGGTGGGAGGTTCCCAGAGAAGCTCTTAAAAACAAGGCTGGAAAGATGAAGGGTGCGTCTGGATTCCAGCGACAGCCAGTTTAGTTCCTTTAGCATGTCACAATGATGGGTCCTGTAATTACATTGTAGCACAAATCGGCAGAACGAGTTATACAATGTGTTGAGTTTATTAATGTGGGATCGCGATGCAGACGCATATACCACATCCCCATAATCAATGATTGGCATCAGCATTTGCTGTACAATCTTTTCCTTTACTGTAGGGCTTAGGCAGGCTTTGTTTCTGTACAGGGCACCTAATTTTGGATAAAGTTTAGATGCAAGCTTTTCTATGTGCAGGCCAAAAGATAAATTGGGGTCTAATATCATACCCAAGTATTTGAAAGAGTGGACCGCGGTCAGTGTGCCATTTGAATTTGTTTTGATGGATAGGTGGGGATTGTGTAATTTGTGCAATTTAGGTACTGTTCCAAAGATCATTGTGACAGTTTTGTCAGTGTTCAGGAAGAGTTTGTTTTTTGCAATCCACTTTTCTACCTCTGTAAACTGGTCTTGGAGCAAAGCCTCAAGTTGCGGTAGATTGGGTTTGCTCGCATAGATTACCGTGTCATCTGCGTACATGTGTACATTTGAGGATTGGCAGGCATAAGGCAGATCATTTATA